GTATTTCACATATATGAAAAGTTTAAATCTTCAAAGAATAGCAACTTGAAATTTAAAGAGTGAAATCAAACAATGTGGAAACTTGGATATCGCCCGGATTAAAACCGTACTCTTGGGATCACTTTAGGGTTACTAACCCAAGGGTACTTTCTCTTATTCTTGGGATCACTTTAGGGATTATCAACCCAAGGGTACCTTCCCCTATTCTTGGGATCACTTTAGCGATTATTAACCCAAGGGTACCTTCCCCTATTCTTGATTGATATCCCAAGTTCCAAAATCAACAAGTTATGCAAGTCAAGATTGTATCAAATACAATAAATACATTAACCACGTTTCATGCACAACCAAGATTTTGGAATACGCAAGTCATGCCCCTAGTTTATCCACTATCATGGCATGTGAGATGACAAGAAATCATAGTATGCAACTATATAGACAACATTCAAGATATATAGCACATGGAGTTCATTGAAGTAAATATACCACAAGTATAAGATACATAATTCAATTACTTTCTAAGCAACATATGAGTAATTAAATCATTTCAAGACAAGTGTGCATGTTCATTAAGTACATTAATGAAACCTAGATACAAGGGGTCCTGATTAAACCGATAGAAGCATAAAAAGGAAAATTTAATCAACCTAATGGATTAAATTATCACGATTACGAGGCAAGTCCAAATGTTCTATGAACAAGGTGTGTCAAGGATCATATCAAGGTCAAGTTCAATGTCAAGTTAGAAGTCCATTTCATGTAAGACATAACCATGTGAATTAAGTTCCATGCAAAGGAAGTAAATGAATATAAGTTTCAAACTTATCCGATTATTCTCAATTTGATATATGTGAAGGAATTTGTCACGAAAAGCATGAATTCCAAGTTAGAAACTTAATCAAGACCAATGAGCTATTGAATGGATTTTAATTATTACACTTAATTAAAATCTCTAAGTTTTGAAATCCATCCAAATGATCTCAAATTTTAATATGTTATACAACATACCATAACATGATTTAAAAACACAACACAAGCGAATTCCATGCAATGAATAGCCATGAGCATTAAACTTTAATACTAGAAAAATAATAAATGAGAGATTTCAAAACCTAACCAAATATTCTAGATTTAATATATGTGAAACCATATAGCATGCATATCAAGAATGTCAAGTCGGAATTCCAATGGAGTGAATAGTACACCTGGAATAAATTAATTAATCTAATTAATTAAATATTACTAGATTTCAAAACTTCTCTGATTACTCTCAATTTAATCTATGTTGAAGAGCATGTTAGGGCCTAATATAATATGCTAACACACATCGATTTTAAGCTAGTGAAGGCCACATAAATTAATATTTTATTCTAGTAAAATATTAAATAAAATCTTCGTTACTTGTCCAATTTCTCTCAATTTAATATATGTTAATCAACATATCAAGGGGTAATATTCTATCATGCCACATGATTAAACAAAGCTATGGACAACCGGGAAAATTAAATCCTTCACAAGAAAATTAAATAATAAAATCTCTAGATTTCATATTTAAGCATGTAAACAAGTTGTATAAGCATAATACCATGTTATGTAACAATAATTAAACCTATTACACCCCCTACCTCAATTTGAGATGAAAACCTCAAAGGCCCACCGAAAAAAAAGTGTTCCGAATCCGCCGAAACCGAAGGGTTTTGTCGGGGATAACACGATCTACATGAATCTGAAGGAAGCTCCATGAAAATCACAACTTGACCTCAAACCCAAACTCAAGAAATGGTCAAAAATGAATTCTAATAATGGGGAATGGTAGAACACGTCGAGGGGAACAAAAACCGTGAATGCCGAAAACTTTTTACTTAGGAAAAGTAAATCAAAGGAGGAGAGAGAAGGTGGCAGCTCAATGGGCACCCATGGCTGCTTCAGGTCGTGCAAGGACAGTGGGGAAGATGAAAAATAAAATATTTCACCCCCCTTTTATAGAAATCTCAAGAAGTGCCCTGAACGGGCCCCGCCGGGTCCGAAAAGTGGAATTTGAGCAAACGCGCTCAAATGGAAAAACTCCATGAACGAAAAAGATTCAAAATGATAAAATATGAACAACGGAAGAAATGGCATCAAAAACCAAGTTCCGAGCAGAAAGTTATGCCCCAAACAAGTTCGGCGGCAACCGGGTCCAGAAACTCTGAAACTGGAGAAAAACGACCAGAAGGAAATTCTATGAATTTAAGAGTCAATGAAAAGTGAAAATGAATCCCGTACGAGGATCCAGGCTCCAGAAGAGATATTTTGTAATAACTTTCGTTAACTGCACAATGGCCCCTTCAAAAAGGGTTAACTGCTAAACTGCCCCAGAATGAAAATATCTTCCAAAAGATATTTTCTTATATACCCCTGAAATAAAATATCTTCAAAAGATATTTACGAAAAACACCCCAAGAAAAGAAAAAGATTCTGAAGAATTGTGCATCCACGCCCCTATGGACATCGGGAGCAACCAGAGTACTTTCTTGCAAAAGTGAAGATACGTATTTCAAGAAAACCACTCAAGATGAAGGCATGTGAAGTCAAGAACCAACTCCAAGCATGAGAAGTGAGGCTGTGCCAACAATGTGACAAACGGGGAAAAGACAAAATAGGGAAAAATACGAAACAGGGAAAAGGACGAAAGGCGCATAGTGTCCGAAAAGTGAAAATGCGAAAATGATTCGGTTCTCAAAGGAAGTTGTCAATTCACATGAAAGAGTCTCAGAAACCAATTCCGAGCACTCGAGATGACACTAAGCGACACGAAATAGAGCTCAGAAAAGAAAATTAAACAAAAAAAATTCATTCGTAAAATTTCAAGAAAAAGGAAAGGGAGGCAAATGACCGGGTTGTTACAAGTTATAATGGTATGTAATTGAGTATTTATATAGGTTATGCTTAAGGAAGATGGACTATGCTACACCTTTAGATTAATGTAGTTAGGTAGATGGTCTATACCAACTGAAGATAATTTATGATATTTAATTGATTTCATGTGCTGCAACATACTATTGAAGGACCTTGATTGGCCATGCCTAGGGAAGATGGTTCATATGAAAACCTAGTTCAGGTGGATGAACCATGCTAACCAAAGATGCGCTATGCTTAGTCCTGAAATGTATGATCTTCCTGATGATGTTGTGGTAGTTTTATGCTTTTACACATCATTATATATATATAATTGTCTATCCCTAAGTTAAGTGCAATTTAGCATGTTTATGAGATTGAGGTGAAGTCAATTCCCTAACCTTCTCTTTATAAGTTCAATCCATTCTAATCACAGTATTTACTGTTTTAGGTAATTTAAATTCGTAGGTTAAGTGACAAACCAATCGAACTTTCATCTCTGTTATCAAATTAGGAAGTAATTTTGCAATTTTGTTTGTCATAAACTAGTAATCCTTGTGGTTCAACAACCCCTTACGATAGCATTAAACCACAATGATGAATGTGCTATTGTTATAAGTGGTTTTTTAAGTGGTACACATTTGTGCGCATCATTTATGCATTCTAGTCAAATTGAACCAGTTGTTGAACCAGTTCAAATATAATTTTGGGTTCTGAAAATGGGTCACTGCCTAAATTGAATCGGTTCAAATGTCCCATAATTGGTTAACTTTGGACAGATTTCAGTTTTGGACCCCTAACTTTAAGTAGTCATAACTTATTCATTTTTAATCCAAATTGGGTCATTCTTGAGTCCAAATTAACCGGCTCGAAGTCAATTTTCCAATGATATCACTAGCATCTTCAAAATCTAATCACACTGAGAGTTGTAGATGTTTTACTGAGATAGTGTCGAAAAATCCTTCAAACCGAGAGTGAGTAGTTGTGGGAGATCATAGGTATCACCATTAGAAACTTGTGGAATTGATTTAATTGGTTAATTTGATTATAATGAATCCCATTTGGAAGATTTAGAGTCAACTCATCATCCACCCAAATAAAATGAAACCAAAATAATTCTCCCAAACTTTAAACTACATCTTACCTATCAAGAAAATTAGAATTGTTTACATTTAGGCATGGTTTGTTTGGATGTAAAATATTTTTTATTTTATTTCTTGGTATTTGGTTGTCATAAAATATTTACGAAGAAAAAAATTATTAGAACCTAACAAAAATATTTACCCATCAATTTTCAGCAAGTTTTTTTTTTATGTTTCACTCAATAGACTCGATCTCAATATCCACTTAGAATTTTGCTAAAAACCAAAAAATAAAAATAAAATAAAAAATATATATTATTTGAAAAAAAAATTATTTTCCTAATAAGATATTTTACGTGAAAACAAACCTAACCAATTTGTCCATTACTTATACTTTTTCAGGCATTTTTTTGACATCCGCTCTCTCTCAAAGTCACTAATTTTATTTGTCATAATGTTGATTTTGCCTCTTGTCGTGTGCTCGATCTAGGTTCCCTTTGTTGTTCCCTTGTCCACATAAATTTGATTGGCATCTGCTTAAACACACCAGTTTACCTGGAAAATGTTGTAGAAGACTTACAAAAGAGCCATACACTCCAATAAAGTGGACTAGCACTAGAAAGACTTGACTTCAGTGTTAAAAATATATTAATGCCATGTTCATTATACATTTTGGGTTTATTCATGTATCAAGTGTGTACATATATCAAGTGAATACATGTATCAAGTGTGTACATGTGTCAAGTGAGTGCATGTGTCATATGTGTGGTTGAGAATTGTCTTGGAAAGTTCAAAGGTCTATTAGGGAATAGTATATATAGTGTAAGTGATTTGTTGTTAAGATATATCAACACAACAAAGAATTCAACACAATACAGAAAAATAATTGTTTCTTCATTTTTCTCCTCTGTTCACTTAAGAATTATTTAGTTGGTTGAAACTACAGCTAACATAAGTGGTATCAGAGCTTGATTTCGATCAAGAGCAAACTGGCCGTGAAACTTATAGATGGGAAAACAAAGCTGAAGAAAATCAATCGTGATGGCAACTACAGACAATCAAAACCAAGGTGCCTATCAATTAGCACTTCCCATTTTTTATGGGGAAAATTATGATTTTTGGTATGTGAAGATGAAAACCATTTTTCTCTCATATGATTTATGGGATTATGTTGCAGATGAGTATGATGAACCGGAGGATACAACAACTTTGACGAATGCCCAAAAACAACAATTGAAAGATCATAAGAAGAAAGATGCAAAAGCTTTAGGCTTGATTCAACAAGGAGTTGTTGATACAATCTTTCCCAGAATTATCAATGCTTCTAAAGCAAAGGAGGCATGGGATATCCCCGAGAAGGAGTATAGAGGCAGCACGAAGGTAAGAACTGTAAAACTTCAATCTTTGAGAAGAGATTTTGAAAATATGAAGATAAAAGAAATAGAGTTATTGAAAGATTATTTTTCTAAACTTATGGAGATGGTAAATCAAATGAAGAAAGAAATAGAGTTGTTGAAAGATTATTTTTCTAAACTTATGGAGATGGTAAATCAAATGAAGACCTATGGGGAAGATATTTCTAATCAAAGAATTGTTGAAAAAAGTCTAATTAGTTTCCCGAAAAAATATGACCCTATTGTTGCTGTTATTGAAGAGACTAAAGAGCTTGAAGACTTTAGTGTTGAAGAATTGATGGGTTCCATAAAAGCATTTGAGCAAAGGTTGAGTAGGCGCTCCGAAAAGAGAACTGAAAGTGCTTTTCAATCCAAGCTATCAAGTTTTGATCGATCCAAAGGTGAATCTTCTAGAGGTGGAAGACACGGAAGAGGAAGAGGAAGAAATTCAAGAGGAAGAGGCAGAAATAATTTTGATAGAAGTGGAAATATAGAGTCCACTCAACAAAATTGTGGAATTTGCAAGAGAAGTAGCCATGTTGACAAAGATTGTTGGTTTCGGGGAAAGCCTCAATGTTTCAATTGTAAGAAATTTGGACATGTTAAAAAAGATTGCCGGTTGAAAACAAATCAGCAAGCTAATTTTTCCAAAGAGAAAGAAGGTGAAGCGAGCATGTTTTATGCTTGTCACACGACATCGGAACAAAAGGATGATGTGTAGTTTCTTGATAGTGGGTGTAGTAACCACATGACCGGAGATAAAAACATATTCTTGGAGATTGACTCTTCATCAAATTTTCAAGTGAAGATGGGAAACGGTGCCTTGGTTCAAGCAAAGGGAAAATGTATTATTACCATAGAGGCAAAAAAAGGAAGAAAGCATATTCGGGATGTATTACTTGTTCCGGATTTGGAGCAAAATTTGTTAAGTGTTGGACAGCTTGTAGAGCATGAGTATTCCATTCATTTTAATGAGGACTTTTGCAAAATTTATGATAAGGGAGGACAAAATCATGTTGTGGCAAAAATCAAGATGGGGAAAAATAGAAGCTTTCCTCTAACTTTTTCATGTTCAAAAAATATGGCCTTGAAGATGGATGTTGTTGTTGAGTCATGGTTTTGGCATAGAATACTTGGGCATTTGAATTTCGAAAGCTTAAAGAATTTACAACAAAATAGCATAGTGTATGGGCTGCCAACAATACAAGAAGTTAAAAAAGTTTATGAAGGTTGTGCTTCTGGCAAGCATCACCGAGAGTCATTTCCGAAAGAGAAGGCATAGAGGGCTAAAACACCATTGGAGCTTGTTCATACCGATGTGTGTTGATAAGCGCCGAATATTGTATATTCAAGCGCCCTAAATTACATTAACAAAGTCCAGTTATTAATTATTTTATGTAGATTAACTCCATTTGCATGTTTTTATACATTTTCAGGTTAAAGTGCAAAAAGGAAGCAAAAATGATGCCTTGTGGAATTTTGAGCAAAAAGGATGCCATTTCTGAATTTCTGGCAGCAGTGATCCTGACTTTTGTCGCCATTTTCGACCTAGCAAACTCAAGAACTAGACTTCCATCATAACATGAAAGATTTATATCTCTGAATCAGCTTTCCAAATCTTCAAGTGGTTCATCATTCGGAGTTTGGATCAGAGAGTTATGATCTTCGTAACAGAAGTGCGCAGAACTGCCTAGCAGCACTGAGGTACTGCCTTTCTCCCCATTTTCGACCAACCAGACTTGAGAATTGGGTCTTAATCAAAACATGAAGTTTTTAAAACACTGAATCAGCTCTCCAAATCTTCAAACAGATCATCATTCGGAGTTCGGGGCACAAAGTTATAGCAGTTTTCCCAAAATAGGTCAGCGCTGAGCAAGAGGAACATGTTGCACATTGCACTAAGTTAGAGTGCTCGAGATCACTTTTCGAGTGCTCGAAAATCAGGCAGATTGCACTCGGAAATGGCTCAATTTCAGCCACTTGCACATTGGTTTCCTCAATGCCATCTTCCTTCTTTATGAAGTGGTTGGAGGTGTTCCTTGGAGGAGAGAGAGGGTGTGTTGGAGAATAAAAAGCTACCCAAGGGCCACACATTATTTATCTTTGATTTTTGCAAGATAGAGGAGGGAGAAGAGAGCAAGAAAGGAAGGTGTTCTTGAAGCTAACAAAGGGGAGCTCGAAAATTGGAGATGGAGTTCAAGCTTCTTCTTCATTCTAAGGCTCCAATGGGTAACTAACTCCTCTTCTAGGGAGGTGATGAAACCCCTCCCTTGTAAGCATGTGTTAGTATAGTTTATTTTTGGGGATTACAATGTATTTTTGATAGTCTTTCCATGGTCAAGAGCCTCATTTTTGTTGTAATGAATGTTGAATGTTTATAAATGATTATTGTGAGTTATTCATCTTGTCTTGGATGGTTACTTTTCGTAATCATATTGCTTGCACTTCCATGGTGACAATGGAAGTTAGATCATGGAATGGTTTCAATGGCATGGAGTTGGAGAACCTAGATAGTTCATGGCTTAGGGTTTCCCTTTGATGGTCTATACTTGATTCTTTGCTTTATGTGCATTCACCATTTAAATTAGGGCTTGATAATCCTTGACTTAGTAAGCATGTTCTAAGCTACATTTTAGTTTAGGTAGTTGATCATGTGAACCTTTGATGGTTTATTCTTGCCTTCCTATTTAAATGAACTTCTTGAGGATATTATAGCAACCTAGTATTGTTATGTATCATGACTATCATATATGTTGTTTTTCCCTTAAATTATTCTTAACCTAGCATGTGTATAGGGATGGAGGTGGATTCATTTCCCTAGCCTTCTTTACTTGTACTTCACTCCCTTGAATTCTTGCAATTTATTGTTTTATGCACTTTTAATTTCCTAGCTTAAGTGACATCCAACAAACCTCTATAAACCCCTTATCATTCTAAGAACAATTCTAGACACTTAGGTTGCCACAGACTAGCGCAGTCCCAGTGGTTCGACTTACCCGACCAATAGCCCTATTTTACAATGATTCGTGCTATTCCGAAGGTTGATGTTTAATTGACCAACCGATCATGTGTGGACTGATAACAACACCAACTCATGTAGGTAACAAGTATTTTATTATTTTCATTGATGATTTTTCAAGAATGACATGGATTTATTTCATGAGACAAAAAATCAGATGTGTTCTCTATTTTCAAAAAATTTCAAAAGCTTGTTGAAAGGTAAAGTGACTATCTTATCAAAGTGTTAAGAAGTGATAGAGGTAGAGAGTACAACTCAAATGAGTTTGAAAAGTTTTGTGAAGATATTGGCTTAGAGAGGCAATTAACGATTGGGTACACTCTACAACAAAATGGAGTGGCAGAAAGGAATAATAGAACAATTATTGAGATGGAAAAATCAATGCTTCATGAGAAGGGGCTACCTAAATCATTTTAGGGTGAAGCCGTGTATATGGTTGTTTACTGGATGAATATGAGTCCAACAAAAGCGGTGGAGAATAAAACTCCATTTGAAGCATGAAGTGGAAGGAAGCCATCATTGAACCACTTGAAAGTTTTTGGGTGTATTTGTTTTGCTTCTGTTTCAAGAGAAGTGAGGCACAAACTTAATGAAGCTAGTGAAAAATGCATCTTTGTGGGTTATAGCTCAAAGTCAAAGGGCTATAGACTCTTTAATTTGAAAAAGAAAAAATTGATTATTTGTAGAGACGTTCTCTTTAATGAGAAGGCTGCTCGGGATTGGAAAGAGAAGAAAGTTCAAGATCAAATCCCCATTTTCAATGAAGAATCAGAAAATCAAGAAAATGAAAATGAAGATTTTCTTGAAGTTCCACAAGAAATGGCTCCCATATCTAGCTTACAATCAATCTCAACTTCTCCATCAAACTCAAATTCCTCATCTCCAAGTTTAACTCCAAGAAGAATGAAAAGTGTTAATGATGTGTATGCAAGTTGTAATTTTTCTGTTGTTAAACCGAAGAACTTTGAAGAAGCAATTAAACAAGAGGCATGGAAGAAAGTTATGGAAGATGAAATTTATGTGATTGAGAAGAATAAGACTTAAGAGTTAGTAGAGAAGTCGGAAGACAAAGATGTGATTGGTGTGAAATGGATTTTTAAAACAAAATTTAATCCAGATGGCTCCATTCAAAAGAACAAAGCAAGACTTGTAGCAAAAGGGTATTCACAACAGCCCGGAATTGATTTTCAAGAAACTTTTTCACCCATGACTCGTCTTGACACAATTAGAGCACTTATTGCCTTGACGGCTAAAAATGGTTGGTCCTTGTATCAACTTGATGTAAAATCAGCCTTCTTGAATGTTGTTTTGAAAGAGGATGTCTATGTAGAACAACCTCAAGGCTTTGTTGCAAAAGAAGAAGAAGAGAAAGTTTACAAATTAAAGAAGGCTTTGTATGGCCTTAAATAAGCACCCCGGGCTTGGTATAGTGAGATTGATTCTTACTTCACCAAAAAAGGCTTTCAAAGAATTAAGCAAAAGTGAGCCAACCTTGTACAACAAGACACAAGGTAAAACTGGGATTCTTATTGTTTCTCTTTATGTTGATGATTTGGTATTTACTGGTAGTGATGGAAAAATGATTGTGTAATGTTGTGATATATATGTATATATATATATATATAATTAATGTTAAAAGAAAAAGAAATAAAATAAGTGGGCCCCACCACTATATTAAAAACATCAAAAAGGCCATAAGGCCATTACAGATACGCATTTTGGTTATGACGACCCTGGTTTTTAGGCCAGCGTGTCCTGTGATGAACCGTAAGGATGATCCGATAACGGATCTGAATGCGGAAGCGAAAACAGATAACAAGATTCTAAGAAGTCAAAGTGACCTTCCATGAGGTCGTGGAACTCAACAAGAACTGATGCGGAAGCAAAAAATCGAAAATATGACAAATAAGCCCCTAGGGGCAAAATAGTCATTTCTGAAAACTGTAGATTCGGGTGCTACCGAGCACACCGCTGGAAGGACAACAAAAAACTAATCAAGATGGACTCAAGAATCGCATGATTCGGAGTCCGGACGAAGGAGAAACGGCATGACAAAGAAAAACGAGCACTTAAGGCAAAAAGGGTAAACTGGTAATTATTCAGGAAGAACTGGGTGCAACTGAGCATACCGTTGGAAAGACAGTGAAAAATTAATCAAATTAAAAAATAAATTCACTTGAATCGGAGTCCGGACGAAGGAGAAAAGCCCAAAAGAAGAGTTGACGTCACAGCGGCCCGACGAGGGGCCATGACAGCCCCATGCGCACGCCCATGCGCGCGCCCATGCACGCCGCACGCGCGCCGGTGCACACATGGCTGCCAGGAGCAGCCCAAAAGCTGCTATGTGATTTTTTTCAGAAAAAAGACAGAACAGAGGCTGAATTTGGAGGCCTAGATGAACTTTTTTGCAAAAACACAAAGAAGAAACCCCCCTCAAAAATGAGTTTCGTACGTGACTCACGAGAGAATTAAAAAAAAAATGCAATGTAGAATGCCCGAAATGCCCCTCCATGAAATCTGGTCATGGAGGTCCAAAAAGCTGCTATTTTGAAAACTGAGAATTGAACTTCGTAGGCGATTTCTGATACCAAGACGACCTTTTCTGGAAAAACACGAAAAAGAAACCCCCCCTAAAATCACGTTTTCTAACCGACCGTGTCAAAAGAAGAAAATAAAACTGAGGTGAAAGGTCTATAATGGCC